GTTTCTTTCCTATGTTGGGCGTTTATTTTTTCCATTTCTTTCTTATGCTGGGCCTTCATGGCTTCTATCATGGTCCTGAGCTCATCTATTTTTTTGTCAGTTTCTGCTCTAGAGTCTTGAATTGCGACCCATTTTGCTCACTATCTCTATGGTTATCTGGGAAATTATTTCTGTTTTGAATTTTTCTAGAGCCTGATTGATCTGTTTTGTTACTTCCTGTGCTTTGAGTTCAGGGTGTCCTGGTGGTTCACTATTGGCCTTTTCATCCTCATTTGCCCTACTATTTGCCATTGGTGAACTGGAAGTCTGTCCTTGTATCTTGTTTAAGTGTTTTCTCATTTTTATTTTTGTTGTTGGACTGTCCTTGGTTTAATCTCTGGGTTATCACCCAAATCTTCCTGATGTGGTTGCGCCCTAGCTTCTGTGTCTCTAATAACTCACAGACATTCTCATCTTCATAACATCAGAGAAAATAGCTCATCAAATCAACTGCAATGCTTTATCCCAACTGATGCAATCAGCAACACATTAAGTTCAAGAACAACTTGGAAACTGACCACCTGAGATAGTCATTAGTCTATCATCCTTAAATCATTTGAATTAAATTGAAATCAAGAAGCAGTCCAGAACATGTCTGCGGTGAGCAAAATGTCAGTATAGTGTATTTACCATTTAATGGCTCAGACAGAGCGAGGATGCAAGACCCCTGGTCTCAGTTAGCTGATGGCTGAACCCCATGACACTGACTGACCTCGGGCTGCAGTTCAACCTTCTGAATGGTTGAACTCCAAAACGTTCTATTACAGGTTTACCATGCCCTTTCTTTAAAAATATTCAAAGTTGGGAACTCAGAAAAATACCCTTGATGACCACCTCTACCTCTGCCTCTGCAGAGTGGATCCAAAGACTGGCACAGTCAGGAGGTCTGAGAGTGCGGGTTGGGGGTGTTAGGGGGTTCAGGGGCGCCCACACACCTACCTTCCCAGCACTCAAGTGATGGCAGCTGGGGCGGGAGTAGGTGTGGCTCTCCTTCCTGAGGTGGATCGGGGCCCAGGCTACCTCCCGGCGCTGGAGCGATGGCGGCCGATCTATTTTTAATTTTTAATTAATACAATTTTTTTTCCCAGTATTGGGGATCAAACTGAGGACCTTGGGCTTGCAAACAGGGTGGCATCACTGAGCTAAATCCCCGGCCCCTGGTACATGTTTCCAGTAAATAATATTTGTGACCTCCCGGCGCTGGAGCGATGGCGGCCGATCTATTTTTAATTTTTAATTAATACAATTTTTTTTCCCAGTATTGGGGATCAAACTGAGGACCTTGGGCTTGCAAACAGGGTGGCATCACTGAGCTAAATCCCCGGCCCCTGGTACATGTTTCCAGTAAATAATGATTGCATTTTTTTTTTTTTAAGTATATGTTTGGGTGATATTTTTGTTTTCTTTTTTTTCAGGGGGCACTGGGGTTCAAACTTGGGATCTTGCTCTTGCAGGGCAGGTGGTGGTACCACTGAGCTAAATCCATGACCTCAGGGTACATGTTTCC